GTGTGGACGTCACTTGGAGAACATCATCTAATATATACAATCTACCTGAGTACATATCCCACTATAGTCAAGTAGTTTTCTACTTGTATGGTGTGGACGTCACTTGGAGAACATCATCTAATATATACAATCTACCTGAGTACATATCCCACTATAGTCAAGTAGTTTTCTACTTGTATGGTGTGGACGTCACTTGGAGAACATCATCTAATATATACAATCTACCTGAGTACATATCCCACTATAGTCAAGTAGTTTTCTACTTGTATGGTGTGGACGTCACTTGGAGAACATCATCTAATATATACAATCTACCTGAGTACATATCCCACTATAGTCAAGTAGTTTTCTACTTGTATGGTGTGGACGTCACTTGGAGAACATCATCTAATATATACAATCTACCTGAGTACATATCCCACTATAGTCAAGTAGTTTTCTACTTGTATGGTGTGGACGTCACTTGGAGAACATCATCTAATATATACAATCTACCTGAGTACATATCCCACTATAGTCAAGTAGTTTTCTACTTGTATGGTGTGGACGTCACTTGGAGAACATCATCTAATATATACAATCTACCTGAGTACATATCCCACTATAGTCAAGTAGTTTTCTACTTGTATGGTGTGGACGTCACTTGGAGAACATCATCTAATATATACAATCTACCTGAGTACATATCCCACTATAGTCAAGTAGTTTTCTACTTGTATGGTGTGGACGTCACTTGGAGAACATCATCTAATATATACAATCTACCTGAGTACATATCCCACTATAGTCAAGTAGTTTTCTACTTGTATGGTGTGCACATCACTTGGAGAACATCATCCAATATACACTATCTACCTGAGTACATATCCCACTATAGTCAAGTAGTTTTCTACTTGTATGGTGTGGACGTCACTTGGAGAACATCATCGAATATATACAATTACCTGAGTACATATCCCACTATAGTCAAGTAGTTTTCTACTTGTATGGCGTGGACGTCACTTGGAGAACATCGTCCAATATATACAATCTACCTGAGTACATATCCCACTGTAGTCAAGTAGTTTTCTACTTGTATGGTGTGGACATCGCCCGTTAAATATGGTAAAACGTAATCGTATTGCTTTTTTCCAATTTTTTAGGCTCAGTATAAGTTTATATATATCGCCCTTCAGCATCACATTTCCGCTGAAAATATTCGACTGGCTGGTCGTTCCCAGTTAGATGTAAGTCATAGTCTTATCAGAATATTTTGCGCGAAAGACAGAGCTATCTGACCATAGATTATTTATAACGATAATATGTAAATACAACATGAACGACCATGTAGCTTATCTAACATCTACGAACACGAGCCGAATCAAGTCTACTACGTCTACTACAAGCCTTTTACTTCATATTTATGACTTGCTTTCTTTATCTTTAATATTACTGTAATTAAAGGGTATTAATATTAAATAATTTAAACCCTGGTCATGCGGACGTGACAAAAACAAGAATGAAGCTGGTGTTTTAGTATAGCTTACGAAATAATTTGATGTTTAATTTGTTTACATTTTAGTTATCGCAGATCTATGGAAATAGTAGCGTATCGCAATTTGATGACGAACCCACGCCGCCAATTCCAGCCCGAAATTTTAGCAGGTGTGTAAAGGTTACATACGCATTAAAACAGTTCAAAAAGTTCTAAGTGTTGCTGCTAATGGTTTTGACCAGGATCTCTGGCAAATAAGGTTGAAGTCTATTTAACAAATAGATAAGATTTTGCCGATGTCTGTTCAGTTATAGATTCACAGTATGACGTCATAATGTGGGAAGACATGATGTCATACTGTGTATTCCCACATTATGACGTCATACTGTGTATCAATAGCGACCTTAAGCATGTTACGACGGCAACGCGACGACGACAACCAAAACAAACTTCAAATAAATTATTGCGAAGAAGGGTTGTTATGTATTATCCACTGCATATGAATTGAATTCAGTTTGAAGAGATGAAAACAAAGGCTTTATTGGGCCAAAAAAAAAATATGTGGGTTTCCGGTTTCTTCTTATAAAAACTTAGGTAGGGTAGGTCGGTTTTAACTTTTTTTTTTAAACTTTTTTTTTAATTTTCCGAACAAGCGGACGCCATTTTGTTTAGTCAGTGCTTCCACATCCAAAGATAAATTTCCCTAATATTGCCTCAAATTTCAATTTTCCACAAACATTTTCCTCTAAGTGGAAACACTTACAACCATGATCCAATAAAAAAGTTTAGGGTCGGGATTTCGACGTCCAAAAGCTAGGTAGGGTCGGGAAACCGGAAACCCACATATTTTTTTTTTGCCTTGTTAAAAACGCTTCTGCTGAGCAAATTTGTAGTTTTACTTGTCGCGTCTTGACATGTTTGCGTTGTACACGAGACGTGAAAATCTCTGGTTTGCCGTTGTAAAAAGCACTAACACAACGTCTGTAACTCCCGTGGGGGTTTTAATTATTCATTTCTTTTGTACGAGATCAGGAATATCATTGTGTGAATAGCCGCCGTCGTCGCGTTGCCGTCCTGTTTGCTTAAGGTCCCTTATAACTGAACAGACAACGGCAAAATCTTATCTATTTGTTTTATATAAAATTATAAATAGCTTACTTTTTATCCACCCAAACATTTGGAAATTTAAGAAAGTCGAAATTTTACAAATATCACGCGTACACGATCTTTACAAATAAGGGAATGCTATTAATGCTATTGGCTGCACAGAATAAAGTTTTGTATGACGTAATTCCGTGCATCTGTCCTCTATAGATCATGGCTCTGAACCAATGAAAGCGCTTGAATTCTTAACGCTATTATATTAAAAAAATATACGCTGTGTCTACCGTTTTTGGCACTGCAACTTTCCTCCGACCATATGGCATGGAAGGAATTCGTGATGTGTTCTATTTATTTTTTGTAGATCGTCAAGCAAGTCGTCGACCGGCAGTCATTCACAGTTTCCTCGGCCTATGTACAGTCCTGTGACTGCAGCTGCACCAACTAATGGCGCGCAGGTAGTGTTGTTGTTTCACGCGGTCAGGTCGGGTCGACCTGAGGTCGGTAGCTCAGTTGGCAGAGCATTGGGCTGGTATTGCAAAGGTCGTAGGTTCGATTCCCACCGTGGACAGGCATATTTTTCAAGCTTGCCCGGTGTGGATATACATGCACTCAGAGTAACATCACAAACATCATATTCACCTGAGTACATTGCACCAACACAGAAAAAAAGAGCGTGAAATATCGTTCAAAATTTGTCCGGGAAAATATCCCACTAAAATAAAATTTGATCGGAAACTTTCAAATTTTGTCGATTCCATTTTGATTTCATGCCTTCGTTGGTTAAACTAATCCAATATGCAAATAATACTTTACGCCAAACATTACATTTAATGTTCCTTGCGGGATGATTCCATGTAGTTTATGGTTAACACAGTCTTTCAAGAAGGTTGATTGCTATTTTTTTCAGGACAAGATGTCCAAGACGAAATGTGTTATCTGTAACCTATTTTGGCTTACTAGCATAGCATGACCAGTTGTCATGGCTAGCTTTGCCTGTTTGCCACTGGGTGATGAGCAGCACCTAACCTGCGAATAGGCATACTCTGGGTACGAGAATGTGGCCCTGTATGCAATAACTATGAAATTCTGTTATTTAGGATCACAATGGTGTAGAAGCCGATGAAGAAGCCCCTCCTATACCTGTCAGGTCAGGATGATTATTCAATTGTTACTTTATTTTCATTGCGATGGATTCCGAATAATTCCAACCGCGTTCACTCAGACACAATCTTAATATTAAGAAATACCCTTTCGCTCAGGGTATTGTTTAATTAAAACCACGAAAAATTATTACCATGTTTGACACTCCGGCAGCCGGAGTTGGAAAACTCCGGCAAAAACTCCGGCAGACAAAATTATGAAAAATTATTTCATATTTCAATGAACATTTGGTATTAAATGTAAAAAGTAAGTTGTTGTTTACTAATATATTACTATTTATACGTTGTTTTACTATATATTACTATGTTGTTTACTATTAATTAATAGTGTTGTAAAAAGGTGTTTAAAAAAGATAAATTCTGAAATTACACTGAAATACTTTCGCCTGCTTCCAGTTTTAAATATGAAATTTCCTTAAAAATTCCGCGCCGGAGCTAAAATAACCGGAGTTTGCACAGCTCTACTCGGCTACTAGCTATATATAGTGTAGAACAATTAGAATTTGCAATAACGTCTTTTTATTGATGTAAATATAGACATATCTCCCACGACAATGGAAGCACGGCGTAGTTTGGCAATGAATGGTAAGTATTATTTCAAACCGAGACAAAGCCGAGGACTAGAGCAATCTGCATCTATAGGACTTAAAAGCCCTTCTAGTCAGAATACCGTAAACCTCCGACCATAAGCCCTGGGCTTATATTCTTTCGTATGCGATTTTTGATGGGCTTATACAGGGGGACTTATATACGGGCGGATTATACATGGACGATCTTTTGTGTTAGTAATAAACAAGTCGTATAAACAGGAAAATAAACATGTATTAATAACGCGCTTTGATTAACATGGTAAGCTATAAAGACCATTAATGTTAAAAGACCATGTCAATGTTGAATAACGTAGTGGGCTGCTGGGCTTAGGCTTGGGGGAGGGGGCTTATATTTGGAATGAGGTGAGCGTTAGTACATATGGTGGGCTTATTCGGAGGTTAACGGTATGAGGTTTTGAAATGACATGCGCATTGCGTAGAATTCGTGGTCCCCCTTAATAAAAGCCTCAACAGTCGTTGATGGTTGCGCAGAACGTAAGATGTGCATGCATGGTTCTTAAGTTTTTAAGTTTCTTCACATGAGCATAACACATGGATAAAGTTTCCCATTCACTTTACAACCCACAATAAGTCTCACTTTTCTTGTTTATCTTTTAATTGCACGTTTAGAAATTAAGAAGAGTTTATAGAAGTGTACAAAGACGATTTTAATGTGGCTGGTTCAGAAATGAAAGAAATTAACAAGAATAATTATGCTGATCGTTAAAGTTGAAGGCGAAAACGGGAATTTTACATATCGAAAAAGACGTTTTCTATTCATGAGTGGTAATCGATTCATTTTTTGGTCTCCGTTGTAATATGCAAAAATGGAATCAAAATTTTATTGTTGACAAAACTGTAACCAAATGCTAAAAAGTACTAATGACTCTATTGGACTGGTTTCCATTTAAGTTTTGTTTTCCATTTGAATCTGACTGTTGTATTTTAGTTCTTGAAATATTTTTGATTGGAAACAATGACCCGTCCGCCATCTTGGATTAATTTTTGATCTCAGAAACGCATGTAAAACTATTCCCAGGCGTCCAGATAGCAATTAGTATAGATTCTTATAAAACTCGTTAACAATTCATGACGAAAATTCAAAAGAAATGAATGTTTAATCAATGTTTGTGAATCGCATAAAGATTTGTCCTGATTTACATAAACTTCAGCTTTGATTTTCTCGGCTTAGACAATGTTTATTTTTAAAATTTCTTCGCCAATTAACTCATAAGATGGGTCGTTTTTTAAGCACGTTAAAACATTCGCATCCGATCTTTACATCTGATATACAAACTTTCGCCTCCGGCTCGAGTTTTTATATCAGATAAATTAAGATCGGCTGCTCATGTTTTATCTAGTACTTAAAATGTTCTCAGTCAATTTGGTGTATATTTGAAATAGTGGCCGAAGTATAATTTTGGTCTAATAGTGACCATTGCGTACCTGGGTAAAATATTTGTGTAACCCTGCTTGTGACATCACATGCATGCATATCCGCAATAATCCAAGATGGCGGACTGATTTATGATGATTTCTGTTAAAATATTCCGAGAACTAAACAACGTTTGAAGAAACAGTAAAAACGTTTCCCCCATAATTTTAAAAGTTCTTTCTTCAGAATCTTGCGACTCGAGTCTGATTCAATGACTCGACTCGTTACCACATTGCCCTTATTCAAAATCACTATCCTTCCAAGTATTGGTGATTTGAATGATGGTCTGAACGCTTTGCATTGAACAATTATTTGCTTTTTTTCATTTCACTGTACAATTTTAACTCGGAGAAATAAGTACGGAGAACATAGCTTTTAAATCGTACGTAAAATTTTTAAAATTTATGAGAAATAGTTCTATATTATTGGAGATAATCATTTCATATCATTTAAATGTATTAAATAAAGGATTTTTTATTACTTCCTGTGTGAACTGTGAAAAACGCGGAATGACGTTGATGCGAATATTTTAAGTGACCCGACATAGGAGCGTCTTGGAGCATGCGCAAGTTAAGCTACGTTTACACGCTACGATATGTCGTATACGATTCGTATTAAATTTCAAATGTGGCCAGCTTACGCGTGTTTACTCAATGACATCACAGAGTAGAGACATACAGAGACGTAACTAGTGTACCCACTTTTTTTGTGCGCATGCTCGGCAAATTATTAGATGCATGCATCTGATTGGATGACGACCTGATGACGACTCACTTTAAACTTGCTGAGCATGAGCAGTTGATCATTTTTCGCCCGGTCGCCTGAAAAAAAGTGGGTACATGATAACGTAATCTTACGCAGTGTTTACAACGGTCAGTTACGTCTCTGTATGTCTCTACTCTGTGATGACTTACGCCAGAAAACGAATCGTACACGATTAATCGCAGCGTGTAAACGTAGCTTTAAACAAGCAGATGATCTTGATACGTAGAAAAGTACTGGCACTAGTTGTCAAATAGAAATCCATTTTATGATTAAAACAACTGAATATCTCCTGTAATACACTTTATTTCGATTCCATATTTTTGTCAGAGCTAGAGTTCTCATAACCAAACATAATTACAAAATTTCAACTAGTTTTATAAAGAATAACGAAAGATATAATTGACTGAATACATGAAAATGGATTTCTATTCGGACAACCCTTTCTGAGCGCTGATTGGCTAAAATACGAACACGAGATCACCTGGAGTGCATCACAAACGCGAACACATGATTCCGAACAAACTATCAGACTAAGAAGCTATCACTGTATCAGACTGACAACTATCAGACTAACAATAAATAAAACGATTCCAAACTATAAGTTTGGGCACCGCAGTTCTAAACGTAGTGCAATGCTGATTTGATGGTAAATCCTTTAATTAATGATGCGTAAATTCTTTAATTAATCCGCAACATGAAAAAATCTCTTAATGAGATGAATAAATGACACGAATCGTACATAATGAATGCTGTGAATGTATCCCTTAATTACTATTATGAATATATTTGTTACCAATCTAAAAAAGCTTTGTTATGAAGTAATCCTTAATTCTTTAATTACTGATTCTTATGAACATGAAGTCCCATAATTACAGACATTTGCAAAGATAATAAACCAAGTCTCGACGTTCTCTTGCTTTCTTCATTCCAGCAAAAACCATTTTTATTCCAGGGACCATTTTTTTCGGATTCTGTAGAAATTCATCCAGAGTGGCCTCGCTCCACGTTATGTCACTGTCTTTCATTGCCTGAGTATAGGGATACCCAGGGCTGCTACCAGCACTGCGACCACAAATACCAAATAGGTTTGGACCTGTCTTGTGTTTACCACCATGTGTGCAGGAATGGCATTGTCCACCTCTCTGTATAAATGTTTTTCTTCCTTTTCCGCAATTTCCGTATTCAATGTTGGGAGACTTGTCATAGGATAAAACATCAGATATAAACTTCATTGGCGTACCTTTTCCCTTTTTGCTGTTGTATTTTCTCTTCCAGTAATCTGCCTGACTGCCCAACTGCCGCGAAGAAGGGATGGGGGCCTTAACATTTAAGTACTTTAACCTCGCAGCTAGTCCGGAGTACAAGGGCATACGTAGGTCTTGATATTTCACTGTGGGCCAATCAATACCAAAGTCTTCCCTGATCTTCGCATATTGCTTCCTCAATTTCGGATGACTTTTTACATTTTGCGTGTCATCAAATCCTATTTTGTCCATCTGCCAAATCCCTCCATGATAGCCATTCCGATATGTATTGGTGTCTTTACCATACTTGCTTTCAACAAACGCAGTTCGCTTTAAGAGCTCGTTCGTGCCTCCGAGAGTTGCTTCAACTTTTTTGACAACATCCTCGACAACGTTCGAACCGCTTGCACCAGGAGTGTACATATCTGACTGCGAACTCTGCCCCATACCACATTCTAGTTTCATAACCAGCATCAATGACAATGAAGCAACTTTCAAAAAGAAATCCATTGCTTGACGATTGGAAAACCTTGTGCCGAAAGGCCGAAACGTTTTGTACAGTTGAAATGAGGAAATGTGTTTTGCAAAAGAGCTAAAAGTACAAGTTCCTGAATGGCGCATTGACGCTAATGACGCATTTGAAAAGCAAACGTAAGACCTGAGCTTTGACAAACCAGACAAACTTTGACACTTAAGCTTTGACAAACAGCAGGCGTGCTTATTTTTTTAAATTTGATCTCCCCGCTTTTGAACTATGTTTATATTCCATTCTCTGAGAGAGAATTTCTCCTCAACGCGCCGCGTTGTCGAATCGCGTTGTCTCGGCCTTTACTGTAAATTTGCTACCACTTCTTGGAGTTGTAAAAATATTTCTGGAGTTTTAATTTTTATTTCCAATTCCCTACTTCTGTTCAATACGTCAGCATGCAAGTTTCTCAACGGGAACAACAGTTACAACACATATAAAGGTTATGCCTTATGCTTACAGTGACTAATTAATTGGAAGTAATTTTGACTGATGTGTAAAATCAGCAATTACTGGCTGAAATTAAAATTAAAATTTATTATTAATCACATGATGAATTAATATTCATTTGGTGAGACTTGGTCGTTGCCGTTGACAAGGAATCAAGGATGGCGTATATGTGTTGTGTCACTGTACTTGTGTAATTGTGTTATCCAGGGACGCCGGAACGATCATAAGGCAAAGGGGGGCGGACCCACAGCAAGGGCACTTCTCTAAAGCAAAACTTCAAAATCTTCCGAAATTTATTTTTTTTATCAAAAAATTGTGGCGACCTCCCCCTGTAAATGTCTGAATCTCATAATTTTCGGACAAAAACCATCGTTCTAAATGTGATTTATCACGTAATTTTTAAAAACTAAAAGGGCACTTCTGCCCCCCCTGCCCCCCCTGGCAAAAGGCAGGGGGGGCAGCCGCCCCCCTGCCCCCCCCCAGTTCCGGCGTCCCTGGTGTTATCTCTCCCAACCTCGACAGGTTGTCCCAACCCAATTTTCTTCCGTATTAAGGCCTGGAAATATCCAAAGGGGCAAAGGAGCTCTCCAAACAAACCTGAATAGCGCGGATGCATGAGAAAGCTGTCATAGATACTATTTTAGTGCGTGTACCCCCAACAGCCGTGAAACCCTTTCAATATAATCTGATAGACGTTTTATTGTTTTTAAAATATCCTTACTAAGTCTACTAAAATAATCCCTGTTTTAATTTAATGTGGAACATTTAGAAGAAATTACTTTTAGACAGAGAATATTCTTTAGAAGAAATTACTTTTAGATAGAGAGTATTCTGTCTGGCAATTTTTCTCAAATCAGGCCCTATAGCCAGGGGGTTACCCAACCTCGTACCAAGGGTTCTCTGGCCATCACAAAGAGAACCCTGGGAACATTGGCTCTGGAGACTTTTATTCCCATCGGGAAATCGTACCCCCGGCACTTTTGCACCTTATATCATTTTTATGTGACCCAATATATCATTTTAACTTCACAGAAAATACAATATTTATCTGTTTAATTTCAAATACTGACAAAAAATTTTGTTGCCCTTGGTAATGTGAAAGATCCTGCAATCGGTAAGTGCTATATTTTTTAAATAAATGAATTTTTTACATTTAAAATGGTTTAAATTATGCATTCGTGTAACAATGACTTGTAATAAAATGTATCAAATTAAATATGTTATGGTATTCTAAGTCCAATTAGAATGACAATATTTAATACAAAATAAATACTTTTATGAAGAAAACTTATATTATACGTAATCATAGCTACGAATAAGCTCAGTTTAATCTCTTTTACCAATGCTAAAAGGTATTTAAAACAAGTATATTTTTATAGTCTCACTTTGAGATACTGTAGGATGAATGCATGACATAAATCGCTCTATAAGATCAGCTTTGTTTATATCACGTTCGTGAAAAACACAAAAACGTTCGACTCGTTATAGTTGTATTTATAAGCAGAACATGCAGTATCATTTGTACATTTTACTAGTTTGTGTATAATGTTAGGGGGGAAAAATCAAATTTATATCAGGAGAGAAAATTTGAGTTTAATTTCACATATCAGTCATGTCATAATTTTGAGCACTGTCTCGATATATAACAACCAAAATCTATTAATGTATGGGGTTAGGGCTAGGTTTAGGATAGCCTGTGATCAGACATGCATTCTTAAGTTTAGGATATAGGGTTGTGCACATATAGAGGAAGTGCCATATTTTGCAGCTGTCACTCATAGCTAGTGACAACATATGATGACAGCATGACCGGCTTTGCAAATGACCAACCTTGTTCTTATAGTTGTTGTTGTAGATGTATTAGAACTCAGGCTTTCGTATGTCACATGTGTCACAACAATGTGAATAATAAAATACAAAGCAGGAAGTAATACAACAGGAAATAAACCAGTATCACATTCTGATTATGAGAGCCTAATTTTCCTTGATAGATGTACATCAGAGATGTGAAAATAGTGAACTTATTTTGATGAGCTTGACGTACATGGATTCTCATGTCCTCAGAAGACGGCATTAAAGATGATGTTCTCAAACAACTTGGTGATCAAATAAAAGCTGTAAGATATATTTATGTTGTGGTCACAAACTGTTTTAGCAAATAATGTGTGCCCTCTCAGCTTATTATGAGTAAAATTTAATAGCTGATTAAACCCATTGAGTGGCAACATTCCCCCCTCCCTTGACAAATAAAAATTGTCTGGCATTTATAATAGACAGTCTGTAAAATAATAAAGTATGATGCATCAGGGATGCATGGACCATTAAAAGAGTTAATTTATTTGCCATTAAGAGTTAAGGCATTAATCAGGATGTATTGCAGCCTATTGGGTTATAAAGTAGAGATGTGGGCATGATGTCCAACTGTAATTCCAGGCTCTGTATTATTAATGTGTATCAGCTTTAATCACTGAAGTAAAATAGTCTAGGAATAGATAAGTTGGCTCATTGGACTATAATTGTAATTAACGCATTGAGCACTAGCATTCTCCCCTTGATGAGTAAACAGAGTAGAATAGTTAAGTCGGGCGTATCAGGGTGCAGTGCAACTGAATGAGTTAACTAGACACATTGGGCATAAAAAAACCCTGTGTTTCCAGTTTCATATCGCGAAAAAATTAGGGTCGGTAGGTCGGAAATAATTTTTTTTTTGAATATTTTTTTCATGGTGTTTTCAATAATTAGCGTGACAACAGACGCCATTTTGGCAGTAGCCCGCAACTACCCAGTTGAGAGAAAATAGGGTCGAACGGTCAATCCCTTTGAAAAAATAATAGGGTTGGCAGGAAAAAAATAGGGTCGGTCGGGAACCAGAACCACAGGTATTTTTTTTACGCCTCTGGCAGATTCTGTGACCTAATTGAACCAGACTGCTCTTCCCTTAAAATAATAAAATAAAATAATAAAGTTAAGGGTACATCAGTGTGCATTGCCACTTAATGGGTTTAAATGAGGGTCAAGGCCGGATTTTGGTGGAAATAGTGGGGGAGGTGGGAAAGATTTAGGTGAGGTGCCCCTCCCCGCACCTCCCCTCAAAATCCGGCCTTGATGAGGGTAACAATGGGGGATGATCTCTGGTTAAAGCTGCATTGTTAACCATTAACACAGAAAACGTTCTGCTCAATAGGTAAAATTGTCACCAAATAAAACACAGTAGAGCGCATTACAACTCAAACTACTAATTTATTATTCTAGCTTCAGCTAAAGCAATTTAATGAAGCGGGAAATGAACAGGAATCGGCCATAAAATGCAACAATGTTCACGTGAAGTGTTTGTTTGATGTCCTGGACCACCTTCTCTTATATGGGTAGGTCCCTTCAGGGACCGCGGAACAGGGGGGCCGGGAGGGCGCCCACTTTTTCAGTGGATAATAAAAAATTACCGGATAAAATCCAGCCTGCCTGCGTGGAATAGCTCCTGTGCTATCCTCCCCCCCCCCCCCCCCCCCCCCCCCCCC